GAATTCCAGACCTCAAGATGCAACGAACTTTAAGCTCGAACAAAGAAGAAACAGTGGAAAGTGGCACTCTCCGACATAGCCGAATGGTCAAGAATAGAAGCTGTTGCTGAGTTTAGACTACGTATCGGACACGATTGCCTGGCAAAACACCCTCACAAACGTACCGGACACGATTGCTTGGCAAAACACCTTCACAGAGGGGAGTATACACTCAACCCACATGCCCTCTATGTAACCTAACGATTGCTTGGCAAAACACCTTCACAGATTGGGAGTATACGAGCCGTTGCTGAGTTTAGACTACGTACTGGACAACCGTTGATGAGTTTAGACTACGTACCGAACACGATTGCCTATCAAAACACCTTCACAGATTGGGAGTATACACTCAACTCACATGTACACCTTCACAGATTGGGAGTATACACTCAACCCACATGGACCTTCACAGATTGGGAGTATACACTCAACCCACATGCCCCCTTCACAGATTGGGAGTATACACTCAACCCATATGCCCTTTCACAGACTGGGAGTATACACTCAACCCACATGCCCTCTGCACAGATTCGTACCGGACACGATTGCTTGACAAAACACCTTCACAGATAGCTGTTGCTGAGTTTAGACTACGTATCGGACACGATTGCCTGGCAAAACACCTTCACAGATTGGGAGTATACACTCGACCCACAAGCCCCTATCCAACCTACCGGAGGAAATGGAGAAGACCCACCTGATTCGACGCCCAACCCTAAAGACAACGACAGAAACCCAGAGATACTTTGAAGCAAGAAGACAACTAATGAACTGCTATCAATTAACTGCTATATATGTACCCCCACCCATGGGGGAAGCTGAAGTCAAAGTTTAAGGGCCGTTTGAAATAATAATATTTTTAGTAAAAAACGTTCCATATTAGACGTTTAACGCCCAACAGCTAATCGATGTCTTCCTTAACCAAGACGAAACAAGATCAGTACTCGAAAATAAAAAGGGGATATTAGAGAAAGTCGTGAATAAATTGCTGTGCCTCATACATTCGACTTTAAAGAGTAACATGTCCCAATTCACTAAATCTTACAATAACCAGTAAATAAAACCTGTCCAAGATATCACTAGAGCACTCGATAAGGGCGGCAAAATCGAATGCTTCAAACGACGATTAAAGACCACAATACAAGATGAGTTCACAGAGAATTCGATTCTATTCTGCCATATTAATACATATTTGAACCAAAAAACTAGATAAGTATACCTTGACAACCCATTGCCAAATTCCAGCCATGACAAAAATGAATCCGCCCAAAGACCCTGGTTAAACCCAAATACCAGATCAGCTTAAGACTTTTTAACCACTGTAACAGTAAACAAACAATTAGAGCAGAGACATTCCTTAAAACTCACAAATATACCGAGGTTAAAAAGCAAAATGAAGACTGAGTACAGGAGGATACTTACAATAAGAAGTCTGACAAAGGTAACCCATCTAAACATAATTAAAGGGCTACCGAAGCACACGGCTAAATTAGTGTAGAAAACACGAGTTCAAAATTTAAAACACGCTCCTCAATTAATTACCCACCGGTCTGTCCCACTAACATGCAGCGCTCTTATTCGTGAATGCGCTCGTACGTGCGCAAGTATACGCATGCGGATAACTCACATGCCTATTGGTTCATTTCCATTTAGATGCGTCATGCTGTCACAATGACTGTCTGTCCACATAAATTATATGAATTTGGTCGGACCAATGGGAGCACGACGAGTCAGCCGTAGGTCGCATACACTTGCGTAAATGCTTTTATTCGTCAGCTTTTGTCATTCTTGTGTTCCCTCTGGGTTTGTGCGCCGTTTTCGCCCGTTTTTTTGACAGTCAATAAGATTTACAATGGGGGGAAAGTCCTCCAAGCTTGTTATAACTCCTGAGAATGCTGAAACGGTGAGTTCAAACCTTTTAATTTTTTATTGCCGTTTCTTTGGGCCTAAAACAAACTTATACTATCTTAGGCTGCCGACGTTGCCACGGCAGCTATCACACCGTTGAAATCCAATGGGGAGAATGGAAATGGGGAGGTCATATCTCCTATCAATGTAGCTGAGTCCAATGGTGTTTGTGAAGGTGCTGGGGATGCTACAACCGATATCCCGCATGACTCAAGCATTACAGAAACCAAAGTTCGTTCCTCTTTGTCTCCTTGTATATTATAGTCACGTTGAATCTTACCGACACATTCTTTATTTAAAGCTGAAAAAGCCGAATCCCATTAACTGGATTCAAAAGAAGATCTCTTTTAAAAAGGTAAAGACCCCGAAGAAGCCTGCAGTTACTGACGAGAATACAACTGAACCCGTTTCTGAAGAGTCCCAACCAGTTATCACAGAGGAAAAGGTTCGTTTGTCACTTTCTATTGTTCGGTTTTTGGCTTTGTTACTAACTGCTTTGGTTGAAATAGGAGGAGGAAAAAGCTCCATCTTCGGCAGAAACTGGTGATGTTCAGGTTCAGTCTGAAGAGGTTCCAAAGGCTGATCAAGGAACCGTCATTCCAGAAACTCTTGAAATAGAGCAAACAGCTGAAACAGTTATAGAGATTAGTCCTTCAATCGAAGAAGTTCAGATCAATGCTGGCAAGGAACAATTTGTTGAAGAGGAAGAGCCTAATGAAGAGGAGGAAGAAGTTGAGCAGAACGGCGACATGTCTTCTCAGGAAGTAAGTCTTCGTTAAAATGTCTTGCAATTAGTTGCAACCGCGAATTAAACAAAATTAATTTTTTAATTGCAGCCGGTTCTAACAGAATTAGAGTCGTGTGATACCGATATGGGTGTTTCTGCAAAGATTTCCAATTTTGCTAATGGAGCTGTGGAATCGCTTTCAAATGGCAATGAAATTCATCTAAACGGTGACACTGTTATTCCTCCTGATGAGAGCTAGGCTGATTTTCGCCTTCCCAATATGTGGCCTGTATAATTTGCCCTTCCCCAAGGGGTGGGGACGCAGTCCCCTTCCTCATTTGATATCCCCACTTCCTTTTCTCGCGCTGCATTTGATTTTACTGACGAAATGAAATTGTATGCCATTGTGACTGACATTGCATTTTACTAATATTAATAATGCCCCTGTAATATCGTCCATTCTTTCATTCAGTGGGTTCTCTTGTCTTCTAATTAAATTTGCGTGATCAATACGCGTTGAGGGCGAAACAAGTTTGTCTGACATCGACCCTTTGCGCTCAGCGGTAGTGGTTTGAGATATCTTGATTGCCTTTAATGATGCTCACTTTGGGGTTTGACCTCATATCAGTTCACGGCTACTTTTGTAGGGCATTTGTTTAATTTTAGCACGAGATTCAATATGTGGCAGGTAGGATTTGGGATTTTGAAAGCGCTGACGAGGTGCGACTACTGTCAATTACTTTCTTCATTTCACTAGCTGATTTGTCTTATCGATGCGCTATTATTTGTAATTAGCATGGCCAAGCTGAGGCAAGTTTAGGGAATTGGATAGGCATTGGATAAGTCCATTTGGTGCTAGTTACAAAGCAATAGTTTCTTCAAATTGCAAGCGATTAAGGCGTCATACGCTAAATGTTTTGCCATGGGCAGGTTAATTGGTCGGTTGCCCATTTTTGGCCGATTTAAAATAAAGCCTATTAAAGTCGCCTTACTTTTTAATAATAAC